CAAAAGCAACCCGGATTTCATGCAGGTCACATTCTTTCCCTACAAAGGTCCATCATACTATATGCAATACATAACAAATGAAGTTCACTATAAATGGCTTGGCTTTTGCATGCTAAAAATCATGGACAGTAAACTAAATAGACGATATTCAAGTTTCTTATATAAATACAGGATTTATTTTCGAGTGGTATGAAAATAAATATTTCACAAGTGGCAGTAGCCACAAGTGAAATGTGATAATTTTTATACCACAAGATAAAAATAATCCTGCATTAACAGAAAAAAAAACTTGAATTTTCTGTTTATAACATGTATATACTTTTTCTCTTTTTTTTACCTAATGAATAGGAACTATATACTTTTATACGTGTCCTGCTGTAATATAAGGAGGAAAGTGAAAGAAACACAACAACTTCTAACATTAAAACTTTTATTTAATATAATACAACAATAACATTTTAGAAATATAACCAACTCTATGTGTAACAGAATTTGTCAGGGGTATAATAATTATTTAGACATAAAAACTTCATAACCATGCCAAGACAATTAAGTTATTTTTTTACATAATAAAATGACTATTTGTATAACATCATGTAAGAAATGCATCAAATCTTGAAAATAAACAATGTATACTAAGGTTAAAATCAGATTAAAAAATCAAACAGATTTATGAAACATGATTAAAATTCAGATAATAACAATCAATATGTGGTAATATTAATTAGCAGATTAAAAAATACAAGAACAGTTTACATTTTTTTATAGATGTTTTTATATATAAAATCATGTCTTATTGTTTTGTTTCCATTATTTACACTTTAAGAAAATTTGACAATTCCCATACACACATTTTTCATACCTATCTAAAATTTCTTTTACTTGAAATGATAATTTTTCACAACGTATGTCTAAAAAAGATAATTTGTGTCTTAAAATGCTATCCATCTAACAAAAATTCCATGCCATGAAATTTCCTTGCAATACACACAATAATTTCCAATTTTTCCCATAATTTACAGGGATTTCTGTTTCACAATTTGCTACAATGTCGATTTCCCCCTGTCTTAAAGTAATTCTACATGTAATGTAGGTTCATTAATTTCCCATTCTATGCCTTACATCTTACTAAAAAAATATCCAAGTCTAAAAATAATTCCCAGGTTTATACATACATAAATTTCAAAGATTTTTACCCTCTACAAGCCTTGTAACCATTTGAATTATGTAAAATAAATGTAAAAATAATGTAATGTCCATAAAATAACTAACCCATAACATGCTTTAAATTTGGAATCGTCCATTTAAAGTTAAAGGATTTCAATATCAAACAAGAACTGTCGGAGGACAGTAACGCTCGACTATTCGAAAATTTGTCACAAGGGTGTTTCATTGAGTATAATAATGCTTACCTATATGAATACATAAAATTGTACGAAAAGGTACAAACCCTTCAAGTTTCAATACAATCACAGGGAACAAGTGTGTGAAGTTTCAATCCATTCCCTTCAGTAGTTATGGAGATACCAGCTTACACACAAAAACTTAACCACGAATTTATGAATAAAAAAAGGGGAATAATTATGCGAAAAAGTAAATCAGAAATATGGGACTTGTGCCAATCATCTTAGATAATCACAGAGATCAAGTGTGTGAAGTTTCAATCCATTCCCTTCAGTAGTTATGGAGATACCAGCTTACACGCAAAAACTTAACAAAGAATTTCTAAGATAAACAAGAGGGCCATGATGGCCCTAAGGTCGCTCACCTGTATGTAGGCCCCCGGAGCGGAGCCAGTTTAAACCCCAGGGCTTTTATTTGAACAAACTTGGAAGACACCTATAAGAATACGTTTCATGATGTACACACTTATAATGAAAAACAATGATCTGCCCTCCCCTACCCCCGGCAGGGCCAATTTTAACCAAGGGCTTTTATTTGAACAAACTTGGTAGACACCCATAAGAAGATGTTTCATGCTAAACATCTAAGCTGTAGCTCATTGTGTTTTTTCAAAGAAGATTTTTTAAGTTTTTACTATACACATATAGTTAAAAACAATGACACCCCTGGGGCGGGGCCAGTTTTGACCCCAGGGCTTTTATTTGAACAAACTTTGTAGACACTTACTAGAACATGTTTCATGCTTAATATCTAAACACTAGCTATTTGGGTTTTTTCAAAGATGTTTTTTAAGTTTTTCCTATACACATATAAGGAAAATCAATGACCCCCAGGGCAGGGCCAATTTTGACCCCAGGGCTTTAATTTGAACAAACTTTTGTAGACACATACTAGAAGATGTTTCATGCTTAATATCTTAACTCTAGCTATTTAGGTTTTTTCAAAGAATACTTTTTAAGTTTTTGATATGCACATATATAAGGAAAATCAATGACCCCCGGGGCGGGGCCAATTTTGACCCCAGGGCTCTTATTTGAACAAACTTGGTAGACACCCATTAGAACATGTTTCATGCTAAATATCTTAGCTCTAGCTCTTTGAGTTCTTTAAAAGAAGATTTTTTTAAGTTTTTACTATATACTTGTACATATAGGGAAAATCAATGACCCCCTGGGGCGGGGCCAATTTTGACCCCAAGGCTTTTATTTGAACAAACTTGGTAGACACCCATTAGAACATGTTTCATGCTAAATATCTTAGCTCTAGCTCTTTGAGTTCTTTAAAAGGAGATTTTTTAAGTTTTTACTATTTACATATAGGGAAAATCAATGACCCCCTGGGGCGGGGCCAATTTTGACCCCAGGGCTTTTATTTGAACAAACTTGGTAGACACCCATTAGAACATGTTTCATGCTAAATATCTTAGCTCTAGCTATTTTGGTTCTTTAAAAGAAGATTTTTAAGTTTTTACTATATACATATAGGGAAAATCAATGACCCCCTGGGGCGGGGCCAATTTTGACCCCAGGGCTATTATTTGAACAAACTTGGTAGACAACCATTAGAACATGTTTTATGCTAAATATCTTAGCTCTAGCTCCATGAGTTCTTTAAAAGAAGATTTTTAAATTTTTACTATATGCATACAGGGAAAAATCAATGACCCCCTGGGGCGAAGCCAATTTTGACCCCAGGGCTTTTATTTGAACAAACTTGGTAGACACTCATTAGAAGATGTTTCATGCTAAATATCTTAGCTCTAGCTCTTTGGGTTCTTTAAAAAAAAGATTTTTTAAGTTTTTACTATATGCATATAGGGAAAATCAATGACACCCCTGGGGCGGGGCCAATTTTGACCCCAGGGCTTTTATTTGAACAATCTTGGTAGACACTCACTAGAAGATGTTTCATGCCAAATATCTAAGCTCTAGCTCTTCGAGTTCTTTAAAAGGAGATTTTTTAAGTTTTTACTATATGCATATAGGGAAAATCAATGACCCCCTGGGGCGGGGCCAATTTTGACCCCAGGGCTTTTATTTGAACAAACTTGGTAGACACCCATTAGAACATGTTTCATGCTAAATATCTTAGCTCTAGCTCTTTGAGTTTTTTAAAAGAAGATTTTTTAAGTTTTTACTATATACATATAGGGAAAATCAATGACCTGGGGCGGGGCCAATTTTGACCCCAGGGCTTTTATTTGAACAATCTTGGTAGACACTCCTTAGAAGATGTTTCATGCCAAATATCTAAGCTCTAGCTCTTTCGGTTTTTTAAAAGAAGATATTTAAAGTTTTTTCTTTTGGTTGCCATGGCAACCAGAGTTCTGCATGGAATTAAATTCTTTGAACAATTTTTAAAGGTGACCACCAAAGGAACATTCTTGTGAAGTTTGGATGAAATTGGCTTAGTGGTTTATGAGGAGATGTCATTTAAAGTAAAAGTTTACGGACGGACGGACGGACGGCCGGACGGACGGACGACGGACGGACGCCGGACGAAAAGCGATCACAAAAGCTCACCCTGTCACTTTGTGACAGGTGAGCTAAAAAGGGGCATAATTATGCAAAAAGCAAATCAGAGTTATGGGACTTGTGCCAATCATCTTAGATAATCACAGAGACCAAGTGTGTGAAGTTTCAATCCATTCCCTTCAGTAGTTATGGAGATACCAGCTTACACGCAAAAACTTAACCAAGAATTTCTAAGTCAAGGGGCATAATTATGTAAAAAAGCAAATAAGAGTTATGGGACTTGTGCCAATCATCTTAGATAATCACAGAGAACAAGTGTGTGAAGTTTTAATCCATTCCATTCAGTAGTTATGGAGATACCAGCTTACATACAAAAACTTAACCAAGAATTTCTAAGTCGAAAAAGGGGCATAATTATGTAATAAAGCAAATCAGAGTTATGGGACTTGTGCCAATCATCTAAGATAATCACAGAGAACATGTGTGTGAAGTTTCAATCCATTCCCTTCAGTAGTTATGGAGATACCAGCTTACATACAAAAACTTAACCAAGAATTTCTAAGTCAAAAAAGGGGCATAATTATGTAAAAAAGCAAATCAGAGTTATGGGACTTGTGCCAATCATCTTAGATAATCACAGAGAACAAGTGTTTGAAGTTTCAATCCATTCCCTTCAGTAGTTATGGAGATACCAGCTTACATACAAAAACTTAACCAAGAATTTCTAAGTCGAAAAAAGGGGAATAATTATGTAAAAAAGCAAATAAGAGTTATGGGACTTGTGCCAATCATCTTAGATAATCACAGAGAACAAGTGTGTGAAGTTTCAATCCATTCCCTTCAGTAGTTATGGAGATACCAGCTTACATACAAAAACTTAACCAAGAATTTCTAAGTCGAAAAAGGGGCATAATTATGTAAAAAAGCAAATCAGAGTTATGGGACTTGTGCCAATCATCTTAGATAATCACAGAGAACAAGTGTGTGAAGTTTCAATCCATTCCCTTCAGTAGTTATGGAGATACCAGCTTACATACAAAAACTTAACCACAGGGACGCCGACGCCGACGCCGACAAATGGGTGACTGCATTAGCTCGATTATTCTACGAATAGTCGAGCTAAAAACACAAATTGAGTTACCAACAGTATAAGAGACTGACCTGAAGTGCATGAATGTACAGGTTGGCCTGAATCGATACAGGTGGCAAAAGCCAGAAGATTAAGAGTTGAATATATTAAAATGGCAAGATGTACAAAATGTGTTATGATCAATAAATGAGCCGCGTCATGACAAAACCAACGTAATGCGTTTGCGACCAGCATGGATCCAGACCAGCCTGCACGTCCACGCAGTCCGATCAGGATCCATGCTGTTCACTATCAGTTTCTCTATTTGTAATAGAGTTTGTAAGCTAACAGCATGGATCCTGATCAGACTGCTCTGATGCGCAGGCTGGTCTGGATCCATACTAGTCGCAAACACATTACATTGGTTTTGTCATGACGCAGCTCAAATATATTCTGTCTTTTTATCAACAAACTGTTTATTATAAAAAATCAAAGAAACAAATACCATAAATGATAATTCATATCAAAATGTCTTGATAAATTAAACAAACATATGATTTATCCATACACCAAGCTTGTACAGAAGTACTATGTATGAGACACTGTCCATCTTCCCAAACAATTTCTATAACACATGTTAAAAATAGAGCATGTCATTTTACATAGTTAAAAGTAGCACAACGTCTTTATACAAGACATAAAATACAACAAACTCGTAATCCACTGATTTTTGTCAGCACCCATGCTCAAAGCAATCGAGTAGTTTGCCCCTCCTACCCAATTTCTATAGATATTTCACACTCCACTTTATCATCTTTCTTTCTTTTCCCATCGTTATTAGAACTTCTACTACCTCCCTTGCTTTCACTACCCTTTCCAGACTTCTCGCCCACAGACTCACTTTCCACATTAGGTTTTAAATCTGTACGTTTACTGTCACTAGTTTTTGAACCACTTGGTCTGAATCTTTCACCACCTTCTTTACTAATACTAATCTGTTCAGATTTAGTATTAAGTGAAGGTTTGTCTTTATTATATTCAGGTTTTGTCTTTTCCTCATTCACTTTGCTAGAATTTACTTTTGACAATGGAGAGTCTGTTGAATGTTTTATAGGAATGCCTAAGTAAGAATGGGTATCAATTTGTTTAGGAGACCCATCTTGTCCCACTGTATAATTTCCTAGTCTCTCCTTGCTGCTTCTTGACCCTGACCTTGACGCTGCAGCCATCTCCTGAATTGTCTGCTTACTCAAGATGGGAGCACTAACCTTGAAGAGAAATTAAATAAAATCATAATTATAACTGAATAAGACAACAAAAAAACCCTGCAAATAGCTTTTATTCCTAAATCAATAGCCATCACAAATAGGGGCCAAAACTGATATTTTCTTATTATCAAATGAAGGTCAATGTCTTATTTTGAATAATTCAATCTAAAATTTTAGTCATAAATTTTGTTTTATACATGTATAAACCAAAATCATCAATTAATAACTAAATTGTAGCAAATTTCATAAAGGGAAAAAAAAACTTTAAGACTTTAAGATTATTTTCAGTTTTTAATCATATGGTCAAGGTCATTCTTAAATTGCTCAACTTGATGGTTTATCTTTAATCATTATTAGTCCAAATTTAAATTAAACCAGTCAACAAATAACACAAATATAAAAAGAGATTTTAGAAATGTTCAATGATTTTAGCCTTACTTGTAAAGGTCATTTAAGGTCAATGCCATACCTTAACTGCTCAACAAGACAATTGTATAATGGTATGTGTTGGTTTGTTAAAAACATTATCAAATCCGTCCAAAAATATTAAAGTTATGACTTATTTTATTACAATTCAATAATTTTACATTGAAGGTCAGTCATTTTAAGGTCAAGGTAAAACATTTGCTTAAAATGACGGTTTTATGGCAAGTCTAGTTTTGTTTTAGTATGATTAAAACCCATCCATTAATAACAAAACTAAGGTCAATTTTAGCAAAATTCAATAACTTGACCTTTAAGGTAAAGATCATTAAAAGGTCATTAGTTTGACCTACTTGAGGGTATTATAAATTGTTAAATGGGTTTTTATGAACATAATATATCCATTACTAACAAAGGTATATTCAATTCCGGCAAAATTTAAGCAATTAACATTGAAGGTCAAGGTCATTAGAAAGACAATCAAATTCCGTATGATATGCCCAAATAGATATCATGTCAATTATTCATGTCAATTTTCATTCAAATTGGTTGAGTTTGTTCAAAAGAAGAAGCCAACAAAGAAGGCCAGACAATCACAGCCTCAAACCATTATACCCTGCTCCCATTCATTGGCTCATTTGATACTTTGATATGTAATATATGTAATACTGTATACCAAGGGTATATTTATACAATAAAATAATATTTTATGAAACTAAAACTGATACTAAAATGCACATAGTAGGAAATGCAAGCTTCACTTTCTTTACTGATAGGATTTAAAAGTCAATACTCAAAAATGCTTAACATGAATAATATTACATAAAAGGCTAACAAACACATATATACCTTGTTAGAACCAGAGTGTCCTGTTTTCTCTGAATTGGTCACATTATCCCTTTGTCTACCTGCAACACAAGGGAGATAAATACTATAATACTTCGATATTAAGCAAATAATAAGTATCCCATATTGACAAAAATGTAAGCAACTTCTCAATTCATATATGAATGAAACAGCTACACTGACATCCGGGTAAGTACAACAGCTCTCCCTATCCTTTGAAAAGTCAAGCTAAATTTGAGTATGTCACTTAACCCTTAACTGGCAGGAACCAAAAGTGATAAGCCTTTGCCACCAATATAGAGCCAGGCCAGCCTGCAGCTCCATGCAGTCTGAACCAGAGCTGCATCAGTACTAAGGGTGTAGTACTTAAGTACCAGTACCAGTACTTGGCAAATTATGCAGTACCATTACCAGTACCAGTACTAGATTTTAGCTTGGTACTGCAGTACCAGTACTTTTTTCGGTGAAGTAATTAAGTAGCAGTACCATTACTTTTATATATTCATCAAAATTTGAATAAATACAGTGTCAAACAAATAATTGCAAATATTATTCAGCAAAGAAATAAAGTCATAATTTACTTTAAAGTTAACATAACATTTTTAGAACTTATAGTTTTAACATACTTTTTACAAACAATATTTACAACATATATTCATGTCATATCTCATTGCTTAGTAACCAGTCAACTGTAATACAATGCAATCATCTTTCATTTAAAACACAACAGTCTTTTGTTGCCTTTCACACCTTCACACCTCTGTTCAATTTATACCAAAGTAAATAACAATTTTTTATGGTGCTAACAATATCACTTGAAATAGGATTATTTAGAATAGAAGCAATTAGTTTGTGATTATTTTGCTCTTTTACTAGTAAATACAAAGTAATAAAAGATTTTAATAAGGATATTTTAGGGTAAATAGTTATTGAGTCTGTTTATCTCAATTTAATTTTTACTTAAAGTCTTTTGTGCTTTTTTATGATGAATACTATGTTAACATTTGAAGGAATATTACAGCAAATTATCTATAGATTTGATAACTTACTTTTTCACAAAAATAAAATAATGTAATTTACAGCTTTATTTTTTGAGAAAAATTGATGCTATTTTTATCAAAACCAAAAGTACTGCCTAGTAATGCAGTAGCAGTACCACTTTTTAAGACAGTAATGCAGTACCAGTACCAGTAGTAGCAAAATTTTGTAAGAGTAATTCAGTATCAGTACCAGTACTTGCAAAATCGCTGCAGTACGTACTGCAGTACCAGTACCAGTAATGCAGCTCTGGTCTGAACAGGCTCCATACTATTGGTAGCTCAATTTTTCTTATTTGATATACAAATCCCTTTAACTTTGAATAGACTGATTCAAAGCTGGACAGATCCATTATAAATATAGCAGGTTAAGATAGGGGCTATTAAGTAGCATACACAACCTTATCCAAAAGTAATGTTATTCATTTTAGAAACCCTTCTATTCCAATATCAAATTTCAAATTTACATGTGGTGAGTCTGCGTTAGAAACTGTTAACCAATACATGTATCTAGGTCTATTGTTGAACGAATATTTGGATTACAATATCACTGCTAAACATGTAGCTCAAAGTGCAAGTCGCGCTCTTGGTCTCCTTATAGCAAAATTTAAAAATTCGGGGGGTTTGCATTTTAATGTTTATACGAAATTGTATTATACATGTGTTGTACCTGTTATAACATATGGAGCTTCTATTTGGGGTACAAAATCTTATAGTTGTATTAAAAGTATTCATAACAGAGCTATAAGTCATTTCCTAGGCAAGGGTAAATACACACCAAATGCAGCTGTTTATGGTGAAATAGGTTGGAATCCAATTATTGTTCAACAATGGAAAGAAATGGGTAACCACTTGGCCCAGACACCTTGTCTTAGAGAAAGTAGAATGTATGAGCAAATTTTCAACTGGGCTTTTAACAGAAAAGGGGGAAAATGTAAAATCTTGGTGCTACATTGTTTGACAACACTTTGTTGTCATTAGGACTTGATGTTTATTAATGTGTTCATTTCCCGTTTAATCGCAAAAGTATGGTTGATAATGTAACTAAACATCGGTTGATGTTCATATCACTAAGTGGATAGCGGATGTTTCAAGGGAAAACAGTAGCAATAGTTCTGGGAGAAATTAACTTCGTACATACTCGTACAGACATTTTAAAAAAGTGTATGCTACAGAGAAATGTTGTTGTTTATTTATTCCTGTTTCTAACAGGTCAGCTTTGGGAAGTTGCGACGTCTTGAAACTGGTCGATATGAACATTTACCAGAACATGAAGGGATATGTCCACGTTGTCTAGATGGTATTGAAAAGGAAATGCATGTAATGATGGGATGTTCTATGTATGACAACATTAGGAAACCATTTTTAGATTATGCCCACTATACTTGTGACTTATTTACTACAATGTCAAAACATGAAAAGTTTATGTACTTATAAGCCCACCAGGACACTCATATGATAAGATTGCTCGCAAAAACCTGCTGTGAGATTCTTAAATATAGAAACAACTTGATATATAGTAAGAATACTAATTAAATTGTAACACACCACTATTGTTTAACTATACAATAGCACAACTCTAACAAGTTTTTAATGGTTTTATTTGTTAATACAAGTACAATTTAAAGACGTTTATAAGCTAACTGGAAATTATTATTTTTAAAGAAGTAATATCTTGTAACTAGGACTAAATACATCATAAGTACAAAATTTTAACTGTTTCATATGGTTTTAAGTAATTAGTATTTTACAAGCTTCATTATACAATATATATAAATTATTTTTTACAGGCACTCGTTTTATCGTTTAACGTTTTTATCCTTTTAGCCACTTTGTACTTGATTTTAGTAGCAAGTAGATTTCTTTTATGTGTGAATGATTGTTTTGTCTCTTATAATTCTTATATAGAATGGCTGTGTACATGTATTATGATATTTTATGTTTGTAATATGTTATATGTACATAGATGAGACACAAATAAACAAATATATATATGTGATGCTGCAAGCAGTTTTAAATAATCTCAAGTTACAAATAATACAAATACAAACTTTTTGATTTGTCCACAGCTGTAGAGGTTCTAGAGGTATGTGATGACCTTGAAGATGACCTTGTAGACTTCTCTGGTGTTGGCTTTCGTGCCGGGTTTGATCTATCTCTCTGCAAACAGTACAATTTATTTACAGATAATTCAGTTTGGCATGCTAGACATATAATTGATTACTACAATTATTCACAGGAAAATAACAAAAATCAGAAAATAATGTAATCTATTTTAGCTCAAATGATTAACTATATTGCCTTACATGACATCAATGGTAACAAACTAGTATGTCACATATGCAAACAATATGTTTCGGCATGCTGACATTACCAAACAGCCCACATGCACATACTCCTTAATTATGGTTGACATTAGTTACCTCTGTTGCTTAGAGACTCCAGGTGCATTTTGAAAACTGTCTGATAAAATAACATATCAATCCCACATAGGGTTATAAAACAAAAAGTTAACTCTTAGGTGGTATGTGTTACTAAAAAACTAGAAATGTGTCCATAGGACACAGATGCCCCCACACGCCACTGTTCTGTCAATCTTATGACTCTAGGTCAAATATTTTTTGGACTACATGTGCCACAAGTTGAAAACTAAAAATCAACAAAGGGCCATAATTCTGTTAAATTTGGTCACAGCAAAAATTCCTTCCTTTACTACCATCTACACATTAAGGTTGTTAATCCCTGGAAGTTTAAGCAAAATCTGCCATCCGGTATAAGAGGAGTTGCGTTCAAAAAATTTCTACTTAGTATATAATGAAAAAATCAACAAAGGGCCATTATTCTGTTAACTTTGGTTGCAGTAAAAATTCCTTTCTTTTCTGCCATCTACACATTAAGGTTGTTCATCCCTGTAAGTTTAAGCAAAATCTGCCATCCGGTTTAAGAGGAGTTGCGTTCACAAGATTTCGGGACGTACATACAGACTGACGGACGGACTGACGGACAAGTGCAACGCTATATGCTCCCACATTGTGGGGGCATAACCAGAGAGTCTGAAGGCAATCATACTCATTTCAATTGATTTGAGGTTTTGCGTACCATTCAAGTTATACTCTGATACTACTACTTACATATGTTTTTTTTAAATCTACACCTACTAAAATACTGTTTTAAATTTCAGCTGAAAAGCACTTTGTTCTTACTTTTTCCTTGGTAGAAGTAGAGGAATGTCTATCTCTGTCTCTCACCCTGCTACTGCTACGTCTGCTGCTGCTGTGACTATTGCTTCCAGCAGACTTCTGAAATTGTCAATTTATTGAACACTGAAAAGTCACCATTATATGAATGACAACAATATTCTTGGCATACTGCCAAAAGGTAACATATGACACCTGCTTCTGGCACACACACTGATAAGGCATTCTCAAACTAGTTCAACGTTTATTCCTTCAGTTAAATGTTCACTCTCCCTTCCAATCATCAACAAATCTCTCAGTCTCTAAGACAAGTAAATGAAATAACATTGATATAGATACATTTGCATAGTATGTATATTTTTATATAACCTTCACTACAAACCTTATACCTTACATTATCTACTCCAAAACTAGAATCAATATTAGTTTCTTAACAATGCTCCTACTTGAAATAATTATATTCCATTTCCTAAAACTAATCAATCGTCATTCAATGATTTCAACTTATGTACCCACATTTGTGTGCAACAGGGGCTGTTAGAAGAGATAACAAACTAACATATCTTCACACTGGACAGTAATAAAGAGATGTGTATCTGACGTATATCAAAGGAAAATCTATGGTCATGTTGCTTCATTAGAAAGCAAATGTAAAAATATTGCACAGCATGCATGACAGAAAGCAACCAAACACAACCCATCCCCTCCCTTTGGGAATTCTTAAATTTATTTTGAATATATGAATTTTGTCATATCTATGTAATATCCATGATGATAAAATGTATCAATTTTATGTTTCAAGTTAAATATCCTAAGACCTGCTGAAATCAAAAGTGACAAGCCACTGCAATCAGTGCAGAACCAGGTCGGCCTGGCACATCATACTCTATACTGCTGGTAGCTTGATTTTTGTATTTCAATACTGAAAACCCTTTATCTTTGAATGGACTGTTCCAAATTCAAAGCAGGGCAAATTCAATAATACAAATTCAGCAGGGTAAGTAATGAATAAGATTCCACAAAAATAAAACTTAAAATGAAGGCAAGAATAATAGTGGAATAATTAGTGAAATGTAGGAGCCAGAGTTAATTACATTCTAACTTAATATAGCCTTTACTCCTATATAAAATGATCTTGCTATAACTTACTTTCATACCTACTTATACATTGTCATTTGATCAAGCTTTCAATGCTACTTTAACTTAGCATAAATTCTTTACTTTAAATACTCAAATTGGTTCCTCTTAATGCCACTTAAAGGGAGTACCTATGCTTCACCTAAATTATTTACCTCCTCTTGAAGCTACTTAAAATATCTAATTTTCACTTTAGTTCTTTGTTTCCTCTTAAGGCTACTTAAGGGATATGTAACTATATGCTTTATCTAAATTCTTTACCTCCTCTTGAAGCTACTTAAAGTATCTACGCTTCACCTAAATTCTTTAACTTTTCATAAATCTACTGTCCTATACAAAATGGGTCTAAAACATCAACAAATTTGTTTAAAGCTATCAAATATACATAGAAGTAAAATTTGCAGTTCCAGGAGGTAACGGTTATTATGTTTCACTTGAGGCAAATATAAACACCCGTTATCACACCCGTTAACATGTATCAGGCAGGACAGCCTGATGCAGGTAGAACTAACTATATAAATGTCAGTTTTAAACCGGAATACCAAGATATGTTATTCTTTTTTTTAGTCTCTTTTTATAGATATAATTTTCTCTGGTATATTGTGCATCAATCAATTGAAGGATAAAAAACTTTCCAAGCGCACAACTGTTCTAGCCGCAACCAAAGGATCTACTTGCAACCAGTAAACGTGTGTGTTTATAATTTTAGTCACTATTTACAAAATTAAACATTGCAACCGTTTAAAGTTACAGCATGATAAACATTGCAAATAATTTTCTTAGATGTTTTTTTTTTTGTCGGACAATACATGTATAAATCATTTTATCTTGTCATGACATTATATTTCAAAAACGCCCAAACTACAATGTGTGGGATAGTAGCTTTAAAGTGGATAGCTATGCTTTGTCTAAGTTTCTTAACTATTCATAACTAGCATTTCTATTTAAACTAAATCTTACTTTCATAGCTGCTTCAAACAAGTGTCAATCTTGTCCCTAACTCCCATAATTACTTAAACTGAATATTTTCACTGATAATAGCCTTAAAAGCTACTGATACTCAGCACCAATACATCATGTAATATACTAGTAATACAATGTACTAAAAAATTGAGGGATATGTATTTTTTACAGATTTCCTAACTTTCTGATTTATTTCATATATCTCACACACAGCTTTAATATTCACTGTCTATAAATAATTTGTCACACTATTTACATTTCATTTAATATGCCAATATACAGTTTAAAAATATCATCTGCAGAAGTACTGGAGCTGTCAAAAATATGATACAAACCTTGGAATCGGACTTATCTTTAGAACTTCTTTCACTGTCTTTATTTATTTTTTCTCTTGATCTACGGTTACTTCTTTCAGGACATTTATCGGCCTCATTTTTGGAACTGTCAATACCCTTGGAAGAGGCAGTGCTTTCTGTAGAAATTTTGTCTTTCTGTTGGCTGGGCTTGTCAGTTTGAGTTACTGAAGTTCCACCTGCATCAACTTCATCCACTGTTACAAAATCATCAGGGTTGAAGTCCATATCAAAGTCTTCTTCCTCAGCAGTGTCTATTGCTGGAGCCACCTCATCTTCTTGATGTTCATCTACAGTTATAAAATCACCACCAAGGAAGATTTCCTCTATGTCTTCATCATCATCTTCATCCATTGGAAAGTGTGTGATACCTAATGGTGGGTTATCACCTTCTCTGTCAACCTCAACATTTTCAGGTAATGTCATTTCAGCATTCTCTTTAATTTCGTTAGCTCCATTATCTTTTTCTTTGACAATATCTTTATGTGTATCAGCTATATTGTCTTCTTGATTAGTGTCTTGTGCAGTAGTGGTAATACTCTGCATTTTCTCAGTATTCTTTTCAGGAGGAAGAACTTTATCTAAGTTTGCACTTTGGTCCGTTTTCTCTTTATTAACTTCTGGTTCATTGTAAATTATAACAGTAGCTTCTTCTTCTGTATTGTTATCTTTTGTTTCATCAACAGTCTCAAACTCTTCGTCAAGCATGAACTCAATATCTTCACTGTCATCATAAGGATCAGCCACGCCTGCCTCTTTAGGAACATCTGTCTCGAGTACTGAAGGTTCCATACTTATTTCCAATACACACACACTACTTGATTGTTCACCTTTGATTTCATCAGTTTTCTCTTCTCTTTTAGTTGTGTCCACGTTCTGTACATTCAAATTTTGCTTTTTAGGTGTTTTTATCATGATAGCTTCACTTTTTTCTTTATTCTTATCATCAACATTCATTTTTAATTTTGCTTCATTTTCAAAAATGAAATCTGAAACAGCAGATTGAGTATCATCAATATTAGTAATTTTACTATCTAATACCTTATGTCCACCAAGTTCATCTCTAGTGGGTCTATTAATAGACCCTGTCTTATGTTTTTCATTAGGTTCAGGATTATTATTACTTTCACTTATCTCAACAGATACCTCTGTTATATCTACTTTAGACTGTTGTTCTGGTATATTGCTGTCTTTATTTGTGAGAGGATGCATGCATATTTCAATTTCAGTTGGTGAATTTTCATCTGCATCATCTACAGTGACAAAGTCCTCACCAAGCTGAGACGCAATAAAATCATCAAAATCTGTTGGCATTGTTATGTCATCTGTATTTTCAAGTGCAGCGGATTTTGTCTCTATTTCACCTCCGGCTGGTTTCCAGTTATCAACTATATCTATGCTTACTTCTGTTGTCTGTGACACACAGTTTTCCTTATCCAACATTATCTCATGATGTTCACTACTTGAACTTTCACTCCCTTTTTCATGTTTCTTTTCATTGTTACTTTTTATTTCAATGGTTATGTCACACTCCTTTTCCACTTTGTTCTCTGGTACAGACATTTGTTTTATGCTATATGGCGCTTCATTTGTGTTCTTCACATTTTCACTTCTTTTCATGGCTGAGGGCTCATTAGATGACAAACTTATTTCATTATCATTTTCATTTGATTGTATACTTATGTTTACTATTGGCTTTCCATCCGGTTTAAGAACTTGTTTTATTTTACTTTCAGAATTCTTCTTCTTCACTGGACTAGTCATAACTATTTCAACAACACAATCCTCTGGTGCCGCATCTGATTCTTTTACAATGCCTGTTTCACAGACTGACTTATTGACAATCTGATTAGGAACATCTATCTCAATCTTTGTCTGATTTTCTATATTTACAGTGGAATTTTTTTCAACATTCTCATTTATTTGTCCTTCTCCTAGATTTAGTTCATTTTCCTTTGCTGTAATTACAACAACATTCTTTGTCTGATTTTCTATATTTACAGTTGAATTCTTTTCAACATTCTCATTTATTTGTCCTCCTAGATTTGGTTCATTTTCCTTTGCTGTAATTACAACAACATTCTTTACTTGACTGTCATCGGCATTTGCTTCTTTTTCAGGTGCAACAATTTCATCACTCTTTTCTTCCCTGGGATTAATCTCTTCAACAATATCTTCAATGTCTATAAAATCATCATCTTCTTCCATCTGTTGTTCTATAGACTTGCTTATTAATTCAAGCTCATCTATGCTCAAGCTTTCAACATTCATGACAGTTTCAGATTCATCCAAAGCATCATTTTGGGTGTCTACAATCAACTCTTTATCTTTAGAAACATGTTCATTACTGTCACTATGCTTCTCAATGGCAGATTCTTTATCATTACTTTTATTTTTATCAAAGCTTGCTTTATTAGCAGCAGAATTCTTTTCATTGCCTTTTGGAGTCCTGGATTCTTCTTTACTGCCTGCCTTGGGTGATTTTGTTCTAGACGTTTTTGAATCTGTCCTATCTCTACTTCTTGATCTTCTCCTTTTTCTTGAATGGTCATCATTTTTATCTCTCCTGGTGTCTCTGTCTGCAGATCTCCTCCTTCGGTCTCTAGAATATTTATCATCATGTCTAGTTCTAGTTGAATGTCTTGAGCTTCTTCTATCTCTACTTCTACTTCTGGATCTTCTTCTCTCTTTACTCCTTCCACTTTTCTCATCACGCCTTTTTGTGTCTGACACATGTTTCTTATTGGCATCTTTATTATCATCAACCTTAGGTTTCAAATCACTACTGGCCTCCTTAGTTACAGCAGCTGAGACACTCCTTTCATTATGAGCCACACTATTTTTATCAGATGATTTTGGAATCCTAACCCAAGCTGGCAGTTTCTTCTTATGTTCCTCCATAGTTTTGTTTTCCCCTTGTTTAGTTGACATACTACTTGATGCAAGTTGAGCAGAGTTGTTTGCCTGCTTTGGAGTCTTGGATTTAGGAGATTCTTTAGTTGTCCCAGTATTTCTGTAATTAATTATTCAACATGATTTAATTAAAATGTGCTCAAATGGGATTCATTTTCAGAATGAGTAAAACAGTATTCAGCAAACTAATAAAACAGCAATTGATCAGTTTTGACCAAGTATGATTACAATCATCAGAATATAAATTTTGTTCCAAAATGCTATTTGTAGTTCTTTTCCCTTTATTTTTCTAAATAAAAAGCAGGAATATTTTATGCACTTTCTTTATACTTGTAGTTTAAAGGTCTCATCAATTAAAACCTAGTTTACAAATCAAATCCAACAATTTACTTTGTTTTTGTTTGGTTTTAAGTCATACCAACAATGTAATGGTCATAGGCAACTTTTCAGCTTTACTGGTGGAGTAAAATGACAAGTCCCTTCTTTTTCTGGTGGGGGAAGACATCAGGTGCTTCTCAATGCATTTTTCACTAACAAGCATCTGAGGTCTTCCTCAGCTAGTAAAGCTGGAAAGATTTAACTTTTTAATTTTTTCTTAATGAGACCTTTTTACAAACAGTCATAAAGAAATTGCTTATCAGTATACAAAAAAAATGTGTGAAGCACAAATTATGCAACAACTGAAATATTCATCAGAAATTTTGAGCTAGACTTTAAAAACTAACATAATGTTTTTGTTTTGCCCTATCTTCTTTCAAATATTTCATGCTCTTGATAAAAGTTTGCCTAATTTTCAAAATGTCACCTTCAGCTGCAAAATGCTGATTTATATCTACAAATGACTCATGCAATCTTGGTATATTTAGTACAAAAACAGAGGAGGCACTTAGCATAACAAAGTCAGGACTAATTTTCAGAATATTTTTATTGACCATATGCCCTGACCATATATACTCTACTACTTGGTCAAAAACTGATGATTTGTTTCCAGTTTGCAGTCAGATAACCTTTCAAGGTCCATTTTAGCTATATAACAGTAAAAGCCCTATTTCTTACATTTTACTTACCAGAAGTCGTAACCAAAACCATGTAAATGTAATTTAAATTTGTATAAATTGTGTTAATGTTGTTTCTGTATAAGACAGAACATATCCATAACTTGTTTGCTTGTCTATAAAAAACAAGTCAAAAACATAAAATGATGATCAGTCTGTTGAAGTTTTTATAATCATAGATGTATGCATACAACTGCTCTGTGCCATGTTGATTCACTATACTCGATCACTAAAACCTTGCCCAAATTTGAATCATATCCTTAACTGTAAGATCCTAATAAACCTTCATCAAAGATCTCATTTCTAGGTTTTGTGTGCCATTTCTAAGATGGAATCAGTAGCTTTTGACAACATATAAGAAATCATTGTTTTTTATCTCATATAAATACAATAGATTTGAAACAATGCAATATGTGGTCTCCAGCACTGATCTTTACAAATAACATTGAGACTATTTTATAACATGTTAATAACTTTTTGATTCCCAGCACCATTTCAAAATAGTGTTAGTAAATTGTAATCACTTAACTGCTTATACAAGACAATGTTAGTTTAAATGGACAGATTATGGCTTAGATATAACTGAACATGTAATTCTTGAAAAATAAGCTTTGTTGTGTTACTTTATGACAAAGCACAGAAAATTATAAAGATTTTAAAAGCTAAATTCAAGGATAGAAATTATGATGAATAAAAAGCCATAAGAGCATTAAATGAACAATTTATGAGTTATGTACTTCAGCAGTTATATTGTATGTGTGTATACATACATTGTAGATGTGGGAAATTAGATAACAACTAAAATGGAAATGTTGTAATGCACAAGTCATTTGTATCCCTTGTCCCTCCTCTTTCTCTTTCCTAGGGCATTGCAGGACTTTGATTTATAGAAAAACAAATCATTTGTACCAGCCCTGTGAGGAACATAATCTGCTCCACCCTTTCCCTATCCCTTTCCCTATATTATGGGATAGTAAGGACTTTATCCTTAAAACTAATGGACTCCTACTAGGCAGGAATAATGGTAAAACCTCTGCCAAATGCCCATTAATGAAATGCATTATATATTAGTAATTAAAAATCAACACAAAAAAACATGCAATATTTTAAAACAAATTTACAAAAAAAAAATCGATAAACTCGACAGAACATTTTATCATTTGCAATCTAAGTGCACATTGATTTAATTAAATAACTAAAAATCAGAGAGCATGTTTGTGAAAGATCGACTTTAGTTGTGCAGAATGATAGTGGATGTTGTTTTTTTTTTTCCAAAAAATTTAAAATACTTACATTTGAGCTGTTGGATTGAAACCAGTCTTCAACTGTACATCAGTGCCTATAATTATGATTCATCACATTAAACCAATGACATTGATCAAATAGACATAATACTTTTTGACTTTTTGTGAAATTTACATAATTAATCTGAGAACATTAGAGTAAATAATTTCACAGCAGACTTTGATATATTACCATTACTTTATTGGTTACATGTATATTTAACATCACATCTCTGCTGCAATTTTAAACAGACATTTTAACAGTGAAGACCCCTTGGCGAAAAGAGCAAAAAACATAGACAACTCTTAATCACAACAAATATTTCAATTATTATATATTTTTGACTATTTCTTTTAAAGTATATAGGGTAAAACAAAACATACCTTGTGAAGTTTTCTCTTCTGCCAGCATTTTAAGTTCTTTCTCTGAGGGAGGTAACTCTAACATGACACTTATGCTGAATTGTTTCCCTTCCTTCTTAACAACACCCTGTGCCAGAGTCTCCACTTTGGACATCAAACTTTCCATGGTGTCAAACTGTTTTTGTTTCAGCATGTCATGTAAGACAGGGTGATTTTTCTCCTGTAAATCAAATATAACATACATGTAGATCAAGTAAAATGAATGGACACATAAGTAGAACCACCAATCTTCTGAAAGCTAGCTGAAAAGCTAGTGGACATGATATTGAATAAGAAGTTTTTCTCAACTATGCCTTCATTGATCAATACTAAAACCTTGTATGGAAAATTTATTGCCGATGTGAGATAAAGTAGAACATCGGTTAGTCGAAGTTGAAGGGACTAGAGTAAAAACTTTGCCATCAAAGCTTAAACCCCATGAACATCCTTTTTCATAAAAAAATTTCGGGCCGTTCTTTTTAAAAGAACTTACAAATGGGAATATATAAGGGGGAAAATCGGGGACTCCTTTTGAGAAAATCGGTAATAAAGTTCGACTCAAAGAATTTTAACTATAATAAAAAAGAACTACCAATAAAAAACCGTTTTTAAGAATACAAGGAGGTTTTATACCCTTTCATTAATTCGCCTACACATCTCACACTTTAAAAACATGGCTTGCCTAAATTCTTCTGCTGAAACCTGTCATATTTGTAACCCTAAATTATTGAAAATACAAATAGTCTGATGGTTCTTTAAAAAATAACATAATGTAATATTTTTGATGATTAAAAAAAAGGAAAATTCTAGTATTTAGTAAAGGGAATTTAAAGTTTAAAGGGATCATAATTCCCAAATATGCTAAATTCCATGATAAATTGTTAAATGTTATCCAACTTAGTGATGACTGATAACATATTTTGGAAATAATAACTTTCATGAAACGAAAGTACATTTTCATAGTTTGATATCAATGGTGCCGTTCTGCAATATACGAGGGTTGTCCCAAAATGTCAAAGACTACATTATTTTTTCTTGAACCCAACAGGACTGCTCTGTAAAATTTACCAGATATCTTCATTGGTCATTTGTGAATTTAGATGTACATGTAAGTCAGAAATCATGATGGCTTTTACAAATGAAATGTACTTACCAATGAGTGGATAGTTACTAAAGGTTGAGGTATAATTCATCATAAATTTGGACTTCCTAGCACAATTTACAATTCCACCAAGCTCCATCCTTTTCTTAAGTCTCTCTAAATGAATAATAATAATGAAATTTACAACATGTTTTCCATCAAACAGTAAAATTATTCAAACAAAATTTCACAGTAGCCATAGTTAGAATTTTTTGAATGTGGACAAAAGAATATATTATAAATGAAAGAGAATTCACATGGAATATACTCCTTCATAAGTAAATTGTATAGTATATGGGGGAAGCACAGAAATATTTGCACACATTATGTTAAACTAGAACTCCGCGAGTCGGATGTGTCGCCTTGTGAACAATGTAGTTTAGGAGAAATGGCCAGGACAAAAATGAAATATGAAAAACAACAAAGGGCAATAACTAAAAAAATAATAAGTGCAGAGCAGCATATCTGTGCACTGAATTTCTTATCAATAAGATCTATCATTCTATGATGTTTCAAGTCCATAGCTTTCATACTTGCGGAGAAATGACCAGGACAAAAATAAAGTAAGAAAATCAACAAAGGGCAATAACTCAAAAAATAAGAAATGCAGAGTATCAGTTCTTATGCACTGCACTTTTTCTTAATGAGATCTATATTTATGAGATTTATACTTTCGGAGAAATGGCCTGGACAAAAATTAAGTATGAAAATCAACAAAAGGCCATAACTCAAAAATAAAGAAATGCAGAGTACCGATTCTTGTGCACTGCACTTCTTCTTAATGAGATCTATCATCCTATGAAGTTTCAAGTCCATAGCTTTTATACTTAAGGAGAAATGGCCCGGACAAAATTAAAGTATGAAAATAAACAAAGGGCAATAACTCAAAAAACAAGAAATGCAGAGTACCTGTTCTTGTGCACTGCACTTCTTCTTAATGAGACCTATCATCCTATGAAGTTTCAAGTCCATGGCTTTTATACATTAGGAGAAATGGCCCGGACAAAAATAAAGTATGAAAATTAACAAAGGGCAATAACTCAAAAATTAGGAAGTGCAGAGTACCGGTTCTTATGCACTGCACTTCTTCTTAATGAGATCTATCATCCTATGAAGTTTCAAGTCCATAGCTTTTTAAGTTGAAGAGATATGGCCCGGACAAAATTAAAGTATGAAAATTAACAAAGGGCAATAACTCAAAAAATAAGAACTGCAGAGTACCGGTCCTTGTGCACTGCACTTCGGGTTATTGAAAGAAGCATGCATACCAAGTTTGAAGTCAATCAGACTTATAGTGACTGAGTTATGCTCCGGACAAGCTTTAGGGGACGCCGACTACGACGCCGACAACGACAACGACGCCGCCGACAAAAGTAACCCCAGGGCCTATATGTCACCTTTTCAAGGCGACACAACAAGGCGACACAAAAAGTAACAACATCCAATTATACAGAGCAACATGGACATTGTGACATCATAAAGGAGCACAGTACTTTACATGAAACAAGGGTGCCATAGTCACAAAATACGCCCGTTTACGAAAAAGCTTTAGATGGAGATGGGGGCATTATGGATAAGTGTTATCTAGCAAGCAAGTTTTTATTCTTGGCACTGTGTTGTTAAATGAACCTTAAAACAAATCAATAGGGAAGATATGCACAGAATGTGTGACCTTGACCTTGGTCGCAGGGACCTGAATTTTATGCACGGCACTCAGCCTCACAATGATGAACATTTGTGCCAAATTATATTGAAATCCCTCTATGCATGTAGAAGTTTTGCTCCAGACAAATGTTTTTCTATGAGCTCTAACTGTGACCTTCACCTTTGACCTAGAGACTTGGTTTATGTGCAGGGCACTACGTCTCATGGTGGTGAACAATTCTATAAAAGTAACATTAAAATTCCTCCATGCATGTAGGAAAATATGCTCCGGACAACATCTGGATAT